TGGAGCTGCTCACTTGTTCTCCTCACCAAAAGCATCACACAAGGTTCGATGGGAATCTGTTGCACTTTCCCCCCGCTTGACGTATAGCAAGCGTAGCCCGATGTCGCGCATCTTTCGAAGTTGGCGAAATTTTCAAAATAAATTCGCTTTAAAAATGCTGTATCGTACTGCTCATCCTCAAATGTTCTCTCCAATATCATAGCTGTTCATACAACTCTAATACTGAACTTGTGAGAAAGGTAGAAACTTAACGGAAATTATTCTACCCATCCTAATGTACGCAACTTGATATCATGATATTTCGTATCAAAAGTGCAGCAAGTGCAGCGCTGATACTTATAGCATAACTTTAAACTGTAGTCCAAAGTACCGAAGGTAGAAGATTCGTCCATAAGTGTAGGCGAAAGTAAGGTGGACCTCAAAATGACTCATTAAGGCCTGAAAGGTGTGGAAATGCAGGTATCAACAATCAAACTGTAGCACATAGAGTACCGTGGAACGCAGCAAGACATTTGTTGCTATAAAAAGTGTAAAATCTGATTTTTCTTCTTGCAGATGTTCGTTACTCTTTTACTCACCATATTTTTAATGCAGTGACAGTATTCGGTGTACGTTTGACAGGCACTTTCAAGCGTGAAAATAGACACAAGTACGTCAACCTAGAAGAAAACGTATATTCTCATAATAATCAAGAAGCAGTAAAATTAAAACTCGCATGATCGAGTCTGAAGTTGCATACGAATCTTTAACTTGATGAATAATTTCGAGCTTATTTTACCTTTTCTTTCAAATCAGGTACGACAGGATCATCATGAACATTCGCGTACATAATTCCTCCACATTTTACAGCACCTCTCGCGTTTTCCTCCACTTCGTCCAGATCCGAGTCTTTGGAGTGTTGCTCTCCTTCGGTCCTCAAAGGATTGGGGATAAAAAGAGTATCTTCAAAAGTGTTTCCAGAATACCTACCTCATGATCACCTTAATCGTGGGCTTCCAATCATATGTGGATGTATTGTCTCGCCACGCCTTGAGCAACCCAAGATTTTTGGAGAGATAGTCAGATAAATAGATGCGTTGAACAACGTCACGGAAACAAAGAGCCGAGTAGACAGTGGGCCCTTTAAGAAATGCACTTTTCACTGCTACACGTCACCCCTAATTTGACAGTTGCTGAGGTAAAGTGTATATATTGACTTATTGTTATTTCGTAATAATCACCAAATAGATTAGCCTTTATTTGTAAAATCTCGTAGTTTGTTTCTGGAATTATAAACGGTTTTCCCAAAATACTGCCTGTTCAACTCTATATATTCACTTGCAGAATTATTTTACCTTAATCGCCTGGGCAACACCCAGAAGCTTCGACAAAAATTTCAAATCATAACTTTTGTCATAGCTTCATCAATCCAAGGGTGTAAGGAATTAGAAGGATGCATGACAAAAACCACCAGATCCGCTGATTGGAACACTTGCATTCTAACAACTTCTAACATAATA